TGGAAAAATAATAGAGAATAATATCAAAAAAATGCTTTTTGACCAAACCTACCTAAAGTTTGCGGTTGCCGTGGCGTCGTCACAAACCGTGGATACACAATTGACATATCAAAATATTTGCAAAGGATTAATGAACAGCCACTGAAAGTTTCAGCATGTTAGAGTAAGTCTTCTTTTCAAAAGCTTGGTAAAAACCTTATGGGGTTGCATCCACCTCCCCCCTCCTCTCCCTTGTACGTCCGAGAGTTAATCATTAGAGGGTATCAAGACCATTCTGGATTTTGTAGCAACATTTGTGAAGTAGCGATTTCTCAGAATTCAGCCACCAGCGGCATAATTCACCTCGTGGACGATAAAAAGTTGCAATAAACCCAACTTGTGCTTCTCTTTCGAACTTAGGTTGAGCCGGTCATTCAAGTAGGTCATGAAGGCGTGGTCCATCACATGTTGTTGTACGAGTGCAACGATACTTTCCCAGATCACCATCTGAATTATACCGGTCACTGTTATACTCGTAATATGCCTCCAGCGATCGCAGAGTGTACAGGAGGATCAGCTATGGCCGCTTGGGCCATTGGTGGAAAAGTAAGCAAAGCTTGGTTCTTTTATTAAGTGGAAATAGCAAAAGAAATAAAATAAAATAAGGATAAATTAATCAATGTGTCAGGCTTCTGGCTAGACAACAAGGCCGTACTAATCGGCGACAAGTGCCAGATTGAATTTGCATTTGGAGTATTCGGTTTTAAGCAAGGAGGAAACTCGGAGCAAGGACGAAAAACCAACAGTTGACAATTAAACGTGACTCCAGGCCCAGCATTCGAACCCTGGTGCATTGGTGGGAGGCCTGACCATCAATGAGTAACTAGAAGGGAACGGTACCACTTGCCCTGTGGTAATTGTAACAAAATATGCATAAGTATCCCACCCAGGATGAGACTTACTGACAAAACTCAAGAGCTGTGAGGGACTTCGAACTAGTAACACTAAGCCTTTTTATATTTCTTTCTTCCGGTTTAAGTTTCATGCCTGTAAACTAGCTAGTTGTAGCTAAGTGCACTGACCACTATGAACAACATCTGAACATTTGTTGCTTTGAATCTTAATTAAGTTCGTATTATTTCGGCATATCACTTGCTAATGTAGCAAATTGTTTCTCTTCTTTTACAAGGAATTCTATTTCCCCGAGAAAGCTGGATTTCCACTCGGAAGGGCTGACAGTCCAAAGGTTGTTATATTGGAGATACATTACGACAATCCTGAGGAGAAGGAAGGTACCCTGTTACAGATTGCGCTAGTTGTTATTTTTTTTTTTCTTTACAGGGCCGTACATAGAAAGAGACAAACTGGGGCAATTGTCCCAGTCATTTCTTTTCGTTTCGTTCTTTAACTATGGACATGGAAACTGCCTCAGTCATGATCTTATTTTCTGCCTAGGGTCCTGTTTTTGGAATGATTCTGTTAAAATTTGGACCTTAATGAATTTCTGTCATTCGCTACGTGGACACTTTGTTTGGTTCCCGAATGTCTTTGATCCTCTCACTTATGAGATAATTTTGTTGTTCTGATAGTGATAGACTACCCTGACTAAGGATCTGAAGACAAGATTCTTTTACACGTTACAGCCTAAAATGGGTACCTTAGCTCCTCTCTGTTGTGATCGTCTAGGTGAGGGTGGTGCTGAAAAGAACTGTTGTTGCTGACGATCACAATACCTGAACTACTGATACTCCTAGGTTCAAGTTGTAGTTAGGCAGGTCTACATCAGGCCTTAGGTCTTGCCAATTTCTGTAAACCTGCATTGTCAAATAAAGTTGTATGTATGTAAACCTTTGAATTCATGTGTACCTTTGTCATTTAGGACTGATTGACAGTTCTGGTATGAGAATTTACTACACCAAACAATTGAGGAAATACGACGCAGGAATTCTTCAAGTCGGGGCAGGTGTTGACTATACCATGCTTATCCCGCCAAGACAGAGAAACTGGCAAACCAATGGCTTCTGTACTAAGGACTGTTCAATGAAGGTAAGGGGCCTGGATTTCGATTAATGAGAATAGGTGCTGTGAAATGCCTCTTTCTGTTTTGGGGCACTTCTAAAGGTCGTCGATGATTTGCAACGACTGCCCAAACGTGCCAAAGAAGATTGACAGTTCTTCACAATTGATACCAAAACGTCTTATTCATGGAATTTCGCGCCCCAAAAAATCCTTTATTGGATTTTGTTTTCTTTCCAACTAATGTCAGAAAGGTTCGTGGTGACCTGGACTACTTGTTTTGAAGATAAACTTGTGGAAGGCCACAGTTTCTTTCTTTTTCTTCCCTCGTGCGATACTTACCCAACAGCGCAAATTACGCGACAATAATAAGCACTTAATGACTGGCCCCACGGGAGAGAGTGAGTTTTGTTTCCCTGAGACCCTCATTGTTGAATGTCAATATTGAGGTAGAGGGGAAACAAAACTCACTGTTTGCAGTGGGACCAGTCATTATGTATTTTGTTATACCTCCTAACTCAAATATAGGAAAAATTGCGAAAAAATTATTTGCTTGGAGCCGACAGGCACAACAAATTTGCAAACGGATTTGAGGTGTACGAACTGATCACGTGCGCGTCGAAAGACGTACAAGTTCTTGTTTCCCTAGGGAGCTTGCAAGTTTTATTCGCCCCAGCGAGTTAGTGAGTTTTGACCCACGACACGTGAAAAGTTCTCCTCCAATCGGAAAACGTGTTTAAGTTGGGAGGTATAACAACAATGCTTATTAACAGACAATAATAAAACCAAAATCAATTGTTGCATGCCAACTTCCTAGATCCCCATTTAATCCTGCAACTGATGTCATCTTACTTGAGGTGTATAGAAAGACGGTATCTCAATGGAGGGAATTCTTGCAGTGCATTGTAGCTTATATATATAAGAAGTAAGAGTGTACTGATTCTGTGGTGTACATTACAATAAATGGTATTGAAAACTAAAAGCCTGCAATGAAATAATGCGCAGTGAAAAAAACAAAATGTATCCTGGAAATTATTGAACCCAAAAAAGTACAGCCATGAAGTATATTTTCTGTAGTAAGCTTAAAATATTTGCATGTAAGGCTAAAGAGAAAATCTCTGTTTGTTTTTCTTGCACGTAAAAATTACAGAAACATTTACTAACTTTTTTTTTCTT